CTTCTTTAAGACTGACTTGACGTGATCGCTACTACCCATCTTTCAAGTTAAGTACCGGCATCAAGACGTGAAAACCTCATCAACTGGGGCAGCTTATTCACACAACGCGCGGTGGTCGAAAAACAATTAAAACAATACCTTCTGCTTGAAGGTCATGCAACTTAGCGGCTGACTGTATTCACCTCACTGACCTGCATGTGTTTGGCCAAATTCCAATCAAACGTGCGACCAGATAGTTACATCTACCCTATGGCCATTTGAATGCGCCACCACTCGGCCGTCGATGCCTCAACCGCGCTGTCAGGCCTGACTGGACGCAGTCAACACCAGCCCTGACCACGCTAATGGCCACTTCTGTATGAGAGAGCAAGTCGGGGTTCTATGCTCGATAAATTCTTCATTCTTCTACTTTCTACCTTTTTCTCACACCTCAGGCTTTGACCTCATTTTTGTAGTGATCTGAGTCAACATAATACCTACACTCCTACAAATGCAGAGCAACTGCAATTAAGACCTTGGTCAAATGGTGGAATAAAGGTATATTGGGGCTGTAGAATGATGCGATGAGCGTTTGGATACATTAACGTTTTCACATAGAATTTGGTAAGAATTCCATAAACCATTCACAACGATGGCCGCATATAGTTAGAACTACCAAAACCACTAAAGAGTCACAAATAAAATAGATAAAAAACGACCGAATAACATCTGGTTGCCTAAAGATACCGGCCTTGCACATCCTACTTAAGACCATTTAAATGGAAGTGGAAGCCTCACAGTTGTATGTTTTTCGAAACTCTACCCGGCACAAATGAAAAATTTGCGCCTTTTGTAAGCAAAAGTTTTTGTGCCAATTTAACACTCGCTTGGCATTTTCGAGCATTTGATAGCCTCCCCTGTGCAGTTGACGTCAGGCCTTGTGGTGGAGTGAACACTTGAAGTTTAATTTATACAAAAGCCTATCTCAAAGTGAAGAGTATCCGCGACGTTCACGAGTGTTGTTTTTGGGATGTCTGAAAGGGTTTAAGTCAAGTGTTCACTAGAACGCTGAGGCTGTATTAGTCCGAGCTATACCTCGCTGTGCAGACCCATCGTACCTTTCTTTGCTAAACCTCACACTCTCCTCACGCTGTTGTCCCTTCTCAGGCTCCCGGTCGATGTACCGCTTAAAATGCGCGTAGGCTCGAAGCTAGCGGATATGCCCCGCTTAATCTGATTGGCTCAAAGCGACAGAGCACACTTCACGCAATCAAGGCTTTTCAACCGTGCAAACTCACGGATGCAACTGGCGTTAGGACACAGCCCTTTTGCAGCTCATTTTTAGAGCAAAAGCTGCTCCAACCTATTCTGTCTTCTATGACTTTTGATTTGGTAAACCTTCACTTTGTCGACGCAACCACTTGTACAATTAGTAACCATGGGGACTCCGAATGAGCACGTTATTTTTTAAATCTACGATTTAGTCAGCATTTGACCATAGACGTCTTTTAAACGGAAATTCAGCATAACTTGCCGATCGCTTCCGACTCTCTTACTGCCACACAACTCACCCAAAGGGCCGAACGGTTGATTAAGATTTACGGCTTTTTCAAGCCACCGTCTGCCGCTCTCGCAACTCCGAAGTTTCCTCCTGTGTCCCCTCTCTCGCACCTGAAACCTAGGATTGCCAAACTTGCTGGAGAGGTAGCTTCTAATAATAATAATAATTTGTATATTTAAGGCCCAAGGG